TGAAACCTGATAACATGGTATCTATAACTTGTTGAAAAATGGCTGGGGCAACTTTTATACCAAATGGCATTTTATTATATTGAAATATGCCGTAGTTCCTCTCAGACCTGATAACATGGTATCCATAACTTGTTGAAAAATGGCTGGGGCAACTTTTATACCAAATGGCATTCTATTTTATTGAAATATGCCGTAGTTCCTCTCAAACCTGATAACATGGTATCCATAACTTGTTGAAAAATGGCTGGGGCAACTTTTATACCAAATGGCATTCTATTTTATTGAAATATGCCGTAGTTCCTCTCAAACCTGATAACATGGTATCCATAACTTGTTGAAAAATGGCTGGGGCAACTTTTATACCAAATGGCATTCTATTGTATTGAAACAATTCATGATAAGTGTTTATTGTTAAACATTTTCTTGATTCTTTACTGATTCCAATTTGATGGAGAGCATCAGAAAGGTCAATGATACTGAAAATTGTAGCATTTTGTGATTTTGAAACCTGATAATATGGTATCTATAACTTGTTGAAAAATGGCTGGGGCAACTTTTATACCAAATGGCATTCTATTGTATTGAAACAATTCATGATAAGTGTTTATTGTTAAACATTTTCTTGATTCTTTACTGATTCCAATTTGATGGAGAGCATCAGAAAGGTCAATGATACTGAAAATTGTAGCATTTTGTGATTTTGAAACCTGATAACATGGTATCTATAACTAGTTGAAAAATGGCTGGGGCAACTTTTATACCAAATGGCATTTTATTGCATTGAAATATGCTGTAGTTCCTCTCAGACCTGATAACATGGTATCCATAACTAGTTGAAAAATGGCTGGGGCAACTTTTATACCAAATGGCATTTTATTATATTGAAATATGCCGTAGTTCCTCTCAGACCTGATAACATAGTATCCATAACTTGTTGAAAAATGGCTGGGGCAACTTTTATACCAAATGGCATTCTATTTTATTGAAATATGCCGTAGTTCCTCTCAAACCTGATAACATGGTATCCATAACTTGTTGAAAAATGGCTGGGGCAACTTTTATACCAAATGGCATTCTATTGTATTGAAACAATTCATGATAAGTGTTTATTGTTAAACATTTTCTTGATTCTTTACTGATTCCAATTTGATGGAAAGCATCAGAAAGGTCAATGATACTGAAAATTGTAGCATTTTGTGATTTTGAAACCTGATAACATGGTATCTATAACTTGTTGAAAAATGGCTGGGGCAACTTTTATACCAAATGGCATTCTATTATATTGAAATATGCCGTAGTTTCTCTCAGACCTGATAACATGGTATCCATAACTTGTTGAAAAATGGCTGGGGCAACTTTTATACCAAATGGCATTCTATTGTATTGAAACAATTCATGATAAGTGTTTATTGTTAAACATTTTCTTGATTCTTTACTGATTCCAATTTGATGGAAAGCATCAGAAAGGTCAATGATACTGAAAATTGTAGCATTTTGTGATTTTGAAACCTGATAACATGGTATCTATAACTAGTTGAAAAATGGCTGGGGCAACTTTTATACCAAATGGCATTTTATTGCATTGAAATATGCTGTAGTTCCTCTCAGACCTGATAACATGGTATCCATAACTAGTTGAAAAATGGCTGGGGCAACTTTTATACCAAATGGCATTTTATTATATTGAAATATGCCGTAGTTCCTCTCAGACCTGATAACATAGTATCCATAACTTGTTGAAAAATGGCTGGGGCAACTTTTATACCAAATGGCATTCTATTTTATTGAAATATGCCGTAGTTCCTCTCAAACCTGATAACATGGTATCCATAACTTGTTGAAAAATGGCTGGGGCAACTTTTATACCAAATGGCATTCTATTGTATTGAAACAATTCATGATAAGTGTTTATTGTTAAACATTTTCTTGATTCTTTACTGATTCCAATTTGATGGAAAGCATCAGAAAGGTCAATGATACTGAAAATTGTAGCATTTTGTGATTTTGAAACCTGATAACATGGTATCTATAACTAGTTGAAAAATGGCTGGGGCAACTTTTATACCAAATGGCATTTTATTGCATTGAAATATGCTGTAGTTCCTCTCAGACCTGATAACATGGTATCCATAACTAGTTGAAAAATGGCTGGGGCAACTTTTATACCAAATGGCATTTTATTATATTGAAATATGCCGTAGTTCCTCTCAGACCTGATAACATAGTATCCATAACTTGTTGAAAAATGGCTGGGGCAACTTTTATACCAAATGGCATTCTATTTTATTGAAATATGCCGTAGTTCCTCTCAAACCTGATAACATGGTATCCATAACTTGTTGAAAAATGGCTGGGGCAACTTTTATACCAAATGGCATTCTATTGTATTGAAACAATTCATGATAAGTGTTTATTGTTAAACATTTTCTTGATTCTTTATTGATTCCAATTTGATGGAGAGCATCAGAAAGGTCAATGATACTGAGAATTGTAGCATTTTGTGATTTTGAAACCTGATAATATGGTATCTATAACTTGTTGAAAAATGGCTGGGGCAACTTTTATACCAAATGGCATTCTATTTTATTGAAATATGCCGTAGTTTCTCTCAGACCTGATAACATGGTATCCATAACTTGTTGAAAAAATGGCTGGGGCAACTTTTATACCAAATGGCATTCTATTGTATTGAAACAATTCATGATAAGTGTTTATTGTTAAACATTTTCTTGATTCTTTACTGATTCCACTTTGATGGAAAGCATCAGAAAGGTCAATGATACTGAAAATTGTAGCATTTTGTGATTTTGAAACCTGATAACATGGTATCTATAACTAGTTGAAAAATGGCTGGGGCAACTTTTATACCAAATGGCATTTTATTGCATTGAAATATGCTGTAGTTCCTCTCAGACCTGATAACATGGTATCCATAACTAGTTGAAAAATGGCTGGGGCAACTTTTATACCAAATGGCATTTTATTATATTGAAATATGCCGTAGTTCCTCTCAGACCTGATAACATAGTATCCATAACTTGTTGAAAAATGGCTGGGGCAACTTTTATACCAAATGGCATTCTATTTTATTGAAATATGCCGTAGTTCCTCTCAAACCTGATAACATGGTATCCATAACTTGTTGAAAAATGGCTGGGGCAACTTTTATACCAAATGGCATTCTATTGTATTGAAACAATTCATGATAAGTGTTTATTGTTAAACATTTTCTTGATTCTTTATTGATTCCAATTTGATGGAGAGCATCAGAAAGGTCAATGATACTGAGAATTGTAGCATTTTGTGATTTTGAAACCTGATAATATGGTATCTATAACTTGTTGAAAAATGGCTGGGGCAACTTTTATACCAAATGGCATTCTATTATATTGAAATATGCCGTAGTTCCTCTCAAACCTGATAACATGGTATCCATAACTTGTTGAAAAATGGCTGGGGCAACTTTTATACCAAATGGCATTCTATTGTATTGAAACAATCCATGATAAGTGTTTATTGTTAAACATTTTCTTGATTCTTTACTGATTCCAATTTGATGGAGAGCATCAGAAAGGTCAATGATACTGAAAATTGTAGCATTTTGTGATTTTGAAACCTGATAATATGGTATCTATAACTTGTTAAAAAATGACTGGGGCAACTTTTATACCAAATGGCATTCTATTATATTGAAATATGCCGTAGTTCCTCTCAGATCTGATAACATGGTATCCATAACTTGTTGAAAAATGGCTGGGGCAACTTTTATACCAAATGGCATTTTATTATATTGAAATATGCCGTAGTTCCTCTCAGATCTGATAACATGGTATCCATAACTTGTTGAAAAATGGCTGGGGCAACTTTTATACCAAATGGCATTCTATTGTATTGAAATATGCCGTCAGTGGCGTAACTAAGGGCCCGCAGTTGCGGGGGCTCGTGATCTTTGGGGCCCACGGGGCCCCACAACAGGCGAGTATTGGTACAAATCTCGGTACAAATTTTTGAATGCACCTTGTATTGCATCCAACGATTTGACTTTTTAACGAGTTCATTGTTTTTAACAAACTTAATGCCAAAATTGTGTCAGCTTTGGCTTTATACAAAGAGCGTTCAAAAATTTGTGTCAACTCCAATGGCCGCCACTGTACATAAAATATTCTCATATATTATTATCCAATCTCATATAATCTTATACAGGGTCTCCTATTTTCAAAACTCAAGTATCTGGCAACTCTACTTATAGTTCCTGAGATAAAATTGTGTTAAGCAATTTTCATAGATTTCGACTTCAAACCTAAGAATAATTATTAGATTTGTATATATGGCATTTGTTTTACATATCCGAAATTTCCCGCAACATCATGGGGCCCTTTTGGACCGTGGGCCTCATGACGGCGCACCGAACTGCCCGGTGATATGTCCGCCCCTGGAGAAAAAGCTTCTAATTTTGATTTATAGCTTCAAATCAACTTTTCCACAAAGAGGAAACTTTAATTCATAAATTCTGAAAGTTTCAAGTCACTGTGATCATTAAAAGTATTTTGCACGCGTGATTTTTGAAGATTTTAATCAGTTTTACGTGCATTAACATGAGAAAAAGCTTCTAAATTTCAATTTCGGGCTTCAAATTAATTTTTCCACAAAGAGGAACCTTCAATTTATGAATCCTAAAAGTCTCAAGTCACTGTGATCATTAGAAGTATTTTGCACCAGTGATTTTTGTGGTTTACCCTTGGCTAGTTTCATTCAGCTAAATGTTAAATCTCAACCCTGCATGACAACATTATGCTCATCTGATGCTCGCATTAAGGATGCTGGATTCGTTTGACTAATAACCAATTGTGCAACAGCGTTGCCAACTTTTTTCTGCATTAACACAAAATTTTCTCACAGAGTTTCAAAAACTTTTTACACTAAAAAGTTAAATTTTTTGAAGTCGCTGCATAAGAGATGTAATTTTTCAAGGCCGTGTAACGACACTGTTTATTTTTCAGGTCGGTTCCAAAATAGATCCGGTCAGATTCAGACCGATGGGCAACAGTCAGATCAGAGGCGTCCCGCCAGGTTTTGTCGCAAAGCCTGGTACTCCCGGCGTCAGTCCTAACTTTGTCAAATTGGTACCGCAGCAGCGCCTAGCGCGACCTATGGCACCCTCTCAACAGGTCCGGCCTTTGTCTTACACTGTCGTTTCTGGTAAGTCTTATCTTGTTGTCATGTTTTGGTACTTGTTTAATAATAATTACTATTTTTGTTTGTTTTAGGTACTACCAATGGCAGACCGACTTTGAGCACAATACGGCCCGCTGCCAAACCGGCCAATCAGATACCTCCAATGAAACATGAATGGTTTGAAAAAACTGTTAGAGCTGCGGCCAGAGTCAATTCTAACTTGTCTTACACTCTAACTCAATTGAACAGGTAAATAAACCAATAATGTACAATATATTCAATAATGAAATTGTCTCTATCAAGTTTGACACTAAAGTGACACTCTTTCTTTCCAGACAACAATCACAAGCAAATTCAGTCGAATCCCTTGCCGTCGTTCACAACAAACTCCAAGAAGTCCTTAGCACATCGATCAACTCGCTGATCCAAGTGCGCAAAAATCTGCGTGCCGAGTTCCTTGTAGGCATCAAATCTGTCAAGCTTCCTCCTAAAACGCCTAAACCGGTCACTGCGCCTGCACCAGCGCCCCCACCGGCCCCAATACCGGACGACGATGACGTCATTTTCGTCAGCCAACCCCCACCGTTGGTCATGTCGCCCTCTGTCACTATTGCTAACAAAAAAATACCCCTCAAAATAGGGGTTAATAATAATGTCAATAAGACTTTGACTGTGAGATCGGGTGTTGGTGCTAAACCCATCCCTTCTACTAGCGGTGTTAAACCCACCACCCCCACTACTAATCTTGCTAAATTGGCTAGTAATAAAATTGCTGTCAAACCCGGTGGCGTCAAAAGCACCCCGCCTACTCCTGCTGCAAGTATTGGCGGGCCTGTTAAAGGTGGTGGTTTTTTGAAAGTCAGATCGCTGATGGCGCTGCAATCGGTGCCATCTGAATGTATTACCATTCCGGATGATCCTGTTGAAGATCCGCTTAAATTGAGTTCGCCTTTGCTGCCCATGCTTCCAATGCCACATGCAAATGATAATCGAAGTAAGTAAATAATATTAATAATATCAACATTTAATGATGTATATTTTTCTAGTTGAAATTCTTGATGATGAGTCTGAAAAAAACGAATCGCCAATGATTATTATGAGTTCGCCACCTCCATTGGCCAAATTGTCGAGGCCTAGTCCCGTCCCGGAAATGGAAATGACGTTCAACCTTAGTAAACCGCTATCGCCAAAAGTGCGGAAGATGATGAGAGCTCACGTGCCTATCGATAAGTCGCCCTATTTGGAGCAGCTCTTGGAAAAAACTAGTGTAAAAACTGTAAAGATAGAGGACAAGGGAAAAGGTTCCCGTTCAACTAGTTAGATAATTGATATTTGAGATTTTTTTTTTTCAATTTTGGTAAAGTGATCGTTCGTTTATGTTTTTAAGCCCTATGGAAATTATGTTTTTCTTTTTTTGCAATAAAAAACATGTAGAAAAACCAATTTGTTCGTTTTTCTGTTAGTTACCATGAATGAAAAACATATTAGTCAACCATCCAAGGACCTTTTTTTTCAGTTATACATGTAAAGCCCATACTTTGTGAGTGGCTTGTTTACGTCAAGTCTTACAACTTTTCCTCTACGACTTTTCTCGGAAATGGCACGTATGCGCGCAGGCGACTCGCAAACATTTTAGGGGTATCGGACTCCCCCAATTTGCCATTATTTTTGTCGGCCAAGTTGATTTCCGTGATTTAGACATAAAAATCAAACAGTATTCATAAAATTAGATTTACCTACATGTATCAGGAAACATAGCTACGTCAGATCGACATGTTTGCGAGTCGCCTGCGCGCATACGTGCCATTTCCGAGAAAAGTCGTAGAGGAAAAGTTATAGGACTTGATGTAAGCAAGCCACTCACAAAGTATGGGGTTTACATGTATAACTGAAAAAAAAGGTCCTTGGATGGTTGACTATATCTAGCCCTGAAAATGATACAAATCAATTGTCGAAACGTTAGTCTAATAATAATTATTGATTCAATAAAGAACCTGAGATTCGTATTATGCCTATTTTATAGTTATCTCTCTCAGTCTCATCGAATTGAGTTCACTTTCCCTATAAGAACAATCAGTGTTGCCAGGTCTACTGATTTATTAGTAGATCTACTGATTTAGCCACTGGTCTGCTGGCTGATATACTGATATCAATGTAAATTCTACTGATAAAAGCCGTTGTCATTATTTACCTGCTTTTTATAATATACTCCTGGACAAAATTATCGCATCACTGCTTATGGAGTTTATGTGCAGTGGTGGTGCGATAATTTTGTCCAGGAGTATATTTTTTAAACTACACCATTTCCAAATCCAAACGGCAGTAAGTGACAAACTGGTTATTTTCACTACGACCTATCAAATGTCCTCCGTGCATGCGCACTAGTCCAGGTAGGGCGTTTCAACCAATAGGAAGGCTGATATTTGTTGACAATTTAGGTTATTTAATGTCATTTACTGCCACTCAGATTTGGAAATGGTGTAGTAATATACAGGGTGTATATATATATATATATATATATATATATATATATATATATATATATCTTTATTTTAAGTGATACGTATGTATGATATGTATATTTTAAGTGATACCACTATTGCTATATCCAAAACGGTGAAAGCTACAAGGTCGGTTAAATTAGAAAAAAATTGCCTTTTTTGATGCCCATTCAAGACTCGTTTACAATGTTGCCAAATTCCTCTTAGTTTACGAGTTACAGGGTGATTTCTAAGAAACGCCTAAAAGTATTCTATCAAATATTTCGAAAACTATTTATTTTCGGGACACAATTTAAATTTGAAAGTTTTATAATTTTTTTCGCTTTACAACAGGGCATCTTCAAATTTCGAATCCGACGTTTCGTGGTTAAGCTACCATCATCAATTTCATTTTTTTAAATACGGACCTGGATTTTTTATGACATTTTAAGAAAGCACCCTCTATTCTCTTTCCAACGATATACCTCTCAAGTATTATTGGTCGACGTTTCTGATCTAAAGAGTGATCATCAGTGATTTTTATCAAAATTTTACCTTAATTCGGACCTAGAATTTGGCAACACTGTAAACGAATCTTAAATGGGCATCAAAAAAGGTAGCTTTTTTCTAATTTGACCGACATTGTAGCTTTTACCGTTTTGGATATAGCAATAGTGGTATCACTTAAAATATACACCCTGTATTGTAACAAGTTATTCAAATACAAACGAGTGGATTGTTGTGGAACTTATGGGTGGACCTCTGCGGGACGAGCGCAGCTAGTTCCGCAGCCATCTATTTATCAATATGTTGTTTAATTACGATACTAACCTGACTCACTCAAATGTGAGTTATTTTCATTAGTTCAAAAACTACATGGTTCAGGTGAATGTCTTACTTGAACAGTTCAGCAGTATATTGGTGAGTAGATGGCTGCGGAACTCGCTTCGCTCGTCCCGCAGATGTCCACCCATAAGTTCCGCAACAATCCACTTATTTGTACTTATTATATAAAGTCAGAATTTATAAGATTATCCAATTTTTGTCAATTCGCCTTTCAACAGGAACTAGTAATGTTACTTTACCAAACTAGTAATATATTGTGACAAGTTATTCAAATACAAATGAGTGAATTGTTGCGGAACTTATGGATGGACCTCTGCGGGACGAGCGCAGCGAGTTCCGCAGCCATTTATTCATCAATATGTTGTTTATTTACGATAATAACCTGACTCACTCAAATGTGAGTTATTCTCATTAGTTTAAAAACTACATGTTTCAGGTAAATGTCTTACTTGAACAGTTCATCAGTATATTGGTGAGTATATGGCTGCGCAGATGTTCACCCATAAGTTCCGCGATAGTCCACTTATTTGTACAGGGTGTTTTTTTTTTATATATTGACACCCCACCTAACTCCTTTACCTTTACAGGTAGAAAAAAAATGTGAATACAAAAGTTGTACAGTTTTGGCTGAATTTTTAGAAACGATGGTCAGAAACAAAATTTAAATGTCAGAAATGTGAAATTTGCATGCTTCCAGCTTTTTGCAAATGGGATGCCCTATATTACATTCTATATTCTTGAAGAGCACAATGCCCCGATTCCAAAAATATATAGTTTGTCTATATTTGATTGAACAGTCTCTCATATATTCATTTCCAAAAATTGTAAAAATACTATCCTACTACCTACTACCTACTATACTGATTTTGTGAACCATTTACCTGTACAGGTGAAAGCTGCAGGTAAAATTTGAGGAAGGTACTTGGTTTCTCTGATAGTATTTTTAAAATTTTTAGAACCAAATATGTTGGAGCCATAGGGCATCCCATAAGTAGTGCATATTTAATAGGAATATCTCATGTGTCTTAATCTTAATAAACTATTTCTCATAAGTAGTATTGGTGTTTGTTTTTCTAATGCAAGTTTTCATAGTCTAATGATTTAATGATTTGAAAAAACGTAGTTAAAATAATTAATTGAGTATACCCTAATGGTGTACCCCAAATTACCCCTTTAACAAGGCAACTAATCTTTCTACTGATTTCTACTGATATTTAGACTGGTAATCTACTGACAAAACAAAATATGACCTGGCAACACTGAGAACAATACTGAATTATAACCTCATTTCACTAAAAAATTTAAGATTTTTGTAAGGTGCCTCCTTAAGGGTGCCTTAGATAATTGATAAATCAATGATGGAAAATCAAGATGATCAAGATTGTTACGTTTTCTTGGACTTTACCTTCGACAAAGTTCCTGGTAAGAAAAATCCCAAATATATGGGCTCAATTATTTATCTCCTTTTAATACGAACTTCATTTTCAGCTGGACGAGTTGTAATAAAACTGTTCAAAAACATCGTCCCGCTTACAGCGGAAAACTTCCGAGCCCTATGCACCGGGGAAAAGGGAGTTGGAGCTCAGGGGAAACCCCTTTTCTATAAGGGGTCAAAAATTCACAGAGGCAAGTGAATTTATAGTAATTTTATTACAGGAATTGTCCAAACTTACACATACAAGTGTACAATACTAAAAAAATTTTTGTTAGGCTTTTGGAGGATGTATAGCGTCCATCTCCTTTCTGTGTTCATTTTTTATGAGTTTCAACAGCTGTTTTCCTTTGATTTTCCTTTTTTGAGGCGGGATACTTGTAGGACTATCTACCTCTATATTGAAAATGTCTGGAACTGTCTGAGATCCATCTTCATTAGATTCGTCTCTAGATTTTCCAAGATCCTCTAGAAAAAAAAAAAATATTGGTTTTGTTGTATTTCCAATATCAAAATGTGTAGCATGTAGCCCTGTTGGCCCTGATGAAGACTAGAATTTAGAGCCGAAACGTTGATTGCTTATTTACATGATAGCTTTGTACAATGTAGAGTCACGATTCTGTGTAAAACCTTAAATTGGTGTGTATAGTCTGAAATATGTATACAGAGTGGTTTCCAAACCATTCATAGTGTTGGAACAAACCTAATAAATTATAATTTTGCTAGAATTATTTCATAGTTTCTCTATTCCAGGCACTTGAATTCAGTTTAGTGAAATTTCAAGAAATTCAAGAGCCGGAAATAGACAAAAATCTCTCACCATCATAATCCATGCTCCTAATCTCTTTTTCTTCCTCTTGATGTCCAACCTTAACATCTTCCTCTTGATGTCCAACCTTAACATCTTCCTCCACCCCTTTGTCAGGACCCTTCCTAGGCTCCTCCCTAGTCAAAGTGTAAAGCGACCTTAACTCTCTATCTTTTTTTGAATTTGAATCATGGCTTATGTAGTTTTTTGACGACTTGTGCTCCTCCTTATGCTTTCTCCCACTTTTTTTCGTACACTTGCACTTGCTACAACTACAATCGCAATGTTGCAGTTTTTTATTGGCGCAATGGCAACACTGCGCTTCCATCGAACTATCCGATTGGTTGCTGCAGTGGTAACACTGTCTTTTGGAATTAAAGTACATTTTTTGGCCTCTGGAAGGTTTGTTGCAACAACAATTTGGGACTTCGTAGTGCTTCTGACATGCGCAAAATTGCTGTTTTTGGCACTGGCAACACTGTAAACTATCGCTGCCGCACTCGCCCAACGGAGGACAACTGATCCACTTCATCATTTTTTTGCAGCTGTTTTCGATTTGCGAAGGGGTGTCGTTGAATTCCACCTCCCAGCCGCACGGTTTCGTTTTTTTGTCGTCCGTTTCTATGACGTAGGCGACGCCAAATTTTCCTCTGATTTTCTGTTTTTTGTTGCAACACTGGCAACAGTGCGTTGGGGACGCGGCCAATAGTTGATGTTTTTGATTACAATTGCACATTTTTTCTTATTACTAGGAATTTTGCAAATTTTGAAAAATATTAGTTTTACAGTTTACTGTCACTTTTGACAGAACAAATAAGTCTGGTTTACACTACTGGTTATTAAGCATTAAGCACTGATTGACAGTTAACTATACAGAGTAAATACAACCATTACTAGGTGGGTTCGGCTTGCTCACTCCGTGCACTCCGAGTGACTCCATTCGCACTCCAGCCGTTCGGGGGGTGACTCCATTAATTCTGTTCACTCCACTCCAACTCCGCGCTGAGTAGCTGAACCCAGCTCATGAATATCTTATAATCGTTTAAGCCGCGTTCACACAATTCGAAATCTGACAGTTTTTGGACATACGGAATTGAACAGTGCTAAGTGATAAGGTTGCCAAATTTCCCAATTATTTTTATTGCAATAAATTGGGCGTGCCTATGCAAAACTGGAAAATCCGACAACAATGCAAATATTGTTGAATTCCGCATGCCCAAAAACTCTCGGATTTCGAATTGTGTGAACGCGGCTTTATCGGTTTTAAAGATATTTGAGCGTTACAATATGTACTCATACTCATACTCATACTCAATGTGCTTTATTGTCCAAAAAATATAAATCTTTACTGACAAAGCGGATAATATAATATAATAATTTATATACTAATCTAAATTAATAGTTATACGAATTACACAAAATCACATAAAAATCTTAAAATTCCTAAAATTAACATAAGGCCAAAGAATGACTAATTAAAATGTAATAAATAAATTGAAATAATATAAAAGAAACAAATCAAAATACACTTGATCAATCATAAAACTAGTACACATTTTCCTATTGTGCTGTATTGTGTAAATCGACCTTTTTTATCACCTCAACAATGACAAAAAGAGTCAAGTCAGTGTCATATTTAAACCAATCATAACATAAAAACATGTTGCATTCACTTTTGTTCAGCTTTGACATTGACAAAAACTGTCTGACCTAAGTTTTTCAGAACAGACTTTTTGTTGTTAAGCCTAACTCACACTAAGCAAATTTAAAAAATATATATATTGCCTGTACACTTGGCCAAACATAAGACTGGTACAATGTCAAACCTGTACAAAAGTAAATGCAACATGTTTTTATGTTATGATTGGTTTAAATATGACACTGACTTGACTCTTTTTGTCATTGTTGAGGTGATAAAAAAGGTCGATTTACACAATACAACACAATAGGAAAATGCGTACCAGTTTTATGTTTGGCCAAGTGTACTTTTTACTAACTGTATAAAATGTTGAACCCCCGGTTGAACCGAATTAGTCAAGGCTCGAAAGCAAAGAGAAAGCTGTGATTAAAGGATGGAAACATCATTCTTGCTATTTCAGTCATGCTCGTTACAATAAATTCAAATAAATTGTACTTTTTACAGTTTCTAAAGTATGCTTTATATTGTTGGTGTAATTGTTTGTCAATAGTTGACAACTCGGTTGACATCTAATGGTTTGTAAAGCGCCGATTTCTCAATAGCGAGTCACCTCCGGGTTGGTTTTAACTCCAGGGTAAACGTGTCCGGTTGTTATGTTTACCCTGGAGTTATGCTTAACTCGAGGGTGACTTGCTATTGAGAAACTGGCCCTAAGTATTGACAGTTGTTATTCTAACAGCTTATTGATATACATAGTCTGTTGTTTTTTTAAAGATAATTCCCCAAGTCAAAAATTTAGTAACTATGTTGGCAACACAAGCCTTTTCTACATAAAAAATTTGAAAGCATTGACAATTTTACATTGTATTGCCAACATAATATCATTTTGACTTTTATCTTAAAAAAAAAACAGATTTTAGATCAACATGTATTATACCCGTCTCTATTTTGACGTATAAAATGAACAGTGACAGATAACTTAACGTTACTGTTAAAATAACAGAAAATGATAGTACTAGGCCTGAGGTCAGAATTTTAATTTTTTTGACAAGAGCGCATGATCAACCCTGAAAACGTAAACTCCAGGGTCCTCATTCTTGAAACCGGGAGCAGCGTTCTCAGGAGAACGAGTCTTCCGTCTTTCTCAATGATATGCAAATGACAATATAAGTAACAAAGACAGAACATTCGTTTTTCTGGGAACGCTGCTTCCCTGTTTCAAGAATAGTCACAAATAGGACCTACGTTGTGAAAACTCAATTTTACTTACTGGATATACGCCCGACATAGCAAATATTTGGGAAATTTAAAAGAAGTTGTAATATGTAAAAGAAACGAAAAATTTGTGAAACGTCTACTTTATTATTAAAGTGAATCGTACCGTTCTCATCCTGGAACTAACGAGGGGAAAGAGCACGGCAGAAAAAACCCTCGATATAACATTCCTCGAAAATTATAAAAGTTGAAACTAGGTACCGCCCCTGTTCTTGTGTTAAAATTTTAATTACACACACTACATTCAATCAATACTGAAGAGTTTTTGGTTAGTTAGCCGGTCTGCCGGAAGGTACTGAGGTCCCATACGGAATGTTACCTAGCTATAGTTGTTATTTTGAGCTAATATCTCTTTCCTTTGTTTGGTAGGATATTCGCTCGTCAGGGTAGGAAAATGTTAGTAAATTCAACAAGGCCCTAATGCACGTTTTGAATACACAAAATCAAAATCCTAGCACAAAAGACAGCAGATAATTTCTTACGTTTTAATTTAGGCCCGAGTTACCCAATTCCTTAATTCTTAATATTTGTCCTTAATTCTTAATTCTTAAAAAGTTCAATTTATTTAACATTGGGGTTTTTAAGGATTAAGAATTAGGAACGAAAATTAAGAATTAAGGAATTGGATAACCCCGGCCTTACTCTTTATTTGTGTTGTTTACAGCATGAAACAATTTTTGTTAAATACATGAACAATGCACATGTTATTAAAAAAATGTTATAAACAAACAAAAAAACATAAAAATGGAAAAAATATACTTGTATAAATAATTGAACTCTGAAAAACAAAATAACAAATATTCCACTGACCTGTGATCGCTCCTTGACACACACACACTAATAACAAATTGAATTGAACAATTAGTTTAATGCAAAATAAAAATAAAAATTGAGTCATGAATAATTACAGACACGCGTCTAAGGGAGCAGCCAGCTTGTTCTCTAGTCTAGTTGCGTATTTTCTATCTCCCGTTCGGTACGCTGCACAGCGCATACAAGGTTGCAACATTTACTTTTATTCATCAAACGTTTTTTAAAAAGTTTAGATTCAAAGAAATAATATTTTAAATAGGTGGTTTTCTCCAGTCTGTTTCACACTATGCCTTTTCGGAAACACTGTTCTAATTAAATCTCAATGGATTAACCTAATTAGTTCGAAAAGGCCTACTATTACCGAATACGTTATTGAACGTCAATTCCTTAAGCCTGATTCACACCTAATAATCCATTTCTCTGCTCCAGTAATTCCTCAATGTATGGTCCAAGGCGGAGACATAATCAACGGAGACGGTACTGGCGGCGAGAGCATCTACGGAGCGTACTTCGCCAACGAAAAAAACGAAAATTACAATTTGAAGGTTACACTTATTTGACATTTAACTGTCAAATTGGTAACTGGTTTACTTATTTTAGCATACCGAGGAAGGTATGGTGGGTTGTTGCACTAACGGCCCGGATAAAAATTCGTCGCAGTTTTACATTACTACGGTTCCTTGTACTCATTTGGACCACCAAAATGTTATTTTTGGTAAAGTCGTTAAAGGGTTGGACGTTATCAGGGAAATGTCTGAGATTCCTAGAGTCGACGACGTTCCTGAAGAGGTAAAAATTTGTCAGTTTTAATTCCTAATCGGACAAATTAAATTGTAGGATATCTTAATATCAAATTGTGGCGCATTTGAGCCTAATCAGCTCTGGGGTCTTGAAGAAAACGACGGTACTCCTGATATTTACCCGCCATGGCCAAACGATTGGGACAATCAATCAGTTAACGTCAACACTGTCAAACAGGTTGTCGAAAACATCAATCAATCTGGCAACGTGTTTTTCTATCGCGGTCAATTCAAAGATGCCGAAAGGAAATACAAAAAAGTTGTCAGGTAAGAATAATAATTGATCTTTGCTGATCGCTTTACACTGTTTTTTCAGATACATTGATTGGTTTTTGCAACAAACCCGTAGCAAGTCGTTTTTAGATTTGCGCAACAACGCCCTCTTGAATATGACAGCTGTCAGTTTGAAGTTGCAAAAAAACAAAAAGGCTTTGCAATACTGTAATGAGGTAAGTCGGTTATAAGATCGCCTACTTTCGACTGTTTGCGAAATGCGTTTCCAAGACACCTCAATAACATCTCAGACACCTCATCAACATTTCAGACATCTCAAAGACATCTTTGAAGTGTCTCTGAGGTGTATTGTACAGGTGTTGGTTTTGCATAATTAACTAAGCTGAGTTATCTCCTTGTCCTTATTCATTATCCTTGGTCTGACAAGGATAAAATTTGATGTAGCTTGACAAGTGATTGATTTCCAAGACTGCATTATTCAAAAGTTGTTTGATTTTTTGATTAACAAATACGTTATACATCACGCAGTCTTCTTCCTTCCCTTTTTATCTTGTGCAACTAAGAAGGACGAATTGCTATACTTAAATCTAACATGATTTGGCGACTTGCGCAATTAGCGTTGTTGCGTCTTTTTTTATCGAATTAAGTTTTCATTATATTTCTTTGCCTGGTAAAATGGATAAAAAAATATATTAGTGGATGAATTGATTATATGTATAATAATAGTAGGTGAATTATTAGTAAGTGAATAATTATTATTGAGGCTGTGTTTTTTTCTAGATTCTTAAATCGTCTCCGCATAATGGCAAGGCCTACTATCGTAGAGCCAGGGCCAGGTTAGCGTTGAAAGACTACGATGAAGCACTACGAGATTTGAAATCGGCCAATAGGCTGCATCCGAACGACAGGCACATAAAAGCGGCGTTCGAGACGTTGAAAGCGAAAAAGCAAAACTACTTGCAGAAGGAGATTGTGTTTTGTTCGAAGGTTTTTAGCCAGTAATAATTATTAGTGAATGTAAGGATGAGATTTTTAATAAATGTTAGTTTTATTTGTTGTAACAATCAGAGCAGTACAAACAGAACAGAGTAAGTGCAGATGGAACAGAAATAAAACAGTCAAAAAAGTTTGGACAGTTGAACAGTAAGTGTACTTGGAACAGTCAGAGCAGAATTACTAAAAACCCAAAATTAATTTTCAAATCAGCCTACTGTTATAGAGCCAAATTACAGTATGTTTGCATCTGTAGATTTGTAGTTCTGCAAATGTGGCCGACTTGCATATGTGCTCTATTTGCAGAAACTAGCAAATTATAGAAAAAATCTACAATTTCGTCATATTTATCGGAAAAAGTGTTTGGACGCTACTAATATACCAGTTTTAAATGTCAATGTTGTCAAAATGATTGCAAGAACTTGCGGGACCGTTTCACCATGCGCAAATTTGCAGGCGACCTGCAAATGCATTCTGCTCCTGTAATAACGAAAAGTCAGACTTGCAGGTGCTGCATTTGAATCTTGATGTTGCAGATCTTCTGTAATTTCAGACATAGTAGATAAATTAATTGTTTAGTAGCATATTAGAGTAGTTCGAACAGTAATAATCGGAGCAGTGCAATCGAAGAGAGTGCAGGGCCGTATCTAGGGGGGGTTTTGGGGGTTCAAACCCCTCCCAAAAAAATAATAAAATTCAACTTAAAAACAAACAACACTTATTAAATATTTATTTTTTTATTTTATTTTTATAACTAGTGTAACAATTTTTTTTGCCACTTTATCTAACCCCCCCCAAAATTTTGGTCTAGATACGGTCCTGAGAGTAAGTGCAGATAAAACAAAAATTAAAGTAATTGGAACACTTGGAGTAACTCGAATAATAGAAGGAATTCAAATAGATATAAGTTGTATTCCTTTCACACCTAGGAGGAGCTCCGGGGCTTCACACGCTTAAGCCCGGGACATATCTATCATGCATTCCTCCGATCCGACTCCGATCATACAATCAGGGTCCTTATTCTTGGAACAGGGAGCAGCGTTCCCAGGAGAACGAGTGTTCCGTTGCTCCCCGGTTCCAGGAATAAGGATCTTGATTGTATGATCGGAGTCGGATCGGAAGAATGTATGATAGATGTGTCCCGGCCTTTATTCCTTTCGAAAAGTGTTTGTCGTAACACGCATCAGTTCCCTGCAAATCGGGGGCTACTAAACACCGGAGCGAGTAGCTCGAGTGTTTCAAGCTCTTGAAAGGAATACAACTATTATGCAAATGGAATGCTTGTAATTTAAATCGAGTAAGTGCAAATGAAACAAAATTAAAACAGTTGAAGTAGCTCGGACAGTTGAACAGATCAAAAAGAGTCAGTGCAATTGGAACAGTGAGTAGAATTGCTAAAAACAAATATACACCACACAAAAATTATCGCATCTATCAAAGCAGAAAACATAGAAATGAACAGCCTAATTGCAAAGTGGAATGTATGCCTATCTGCATTTTCCCGAAAAAAGTAAACAAGAACCTAATAGAAGAAGAAACGACATGTTTTTTGACTCGAATTTTTCAGTTGAAGAATGCCCATTCAGGGAATCCTTAAGAAATTTTTAAAATAAATTTACTGTAGCCAAAATATTTAAAAGCATTGGTGATGCGATAATTTTTGTGCGGTGTGTAGAACTAACGCAGATGGAATATTTAGAGTAATTTAAATCGACTTAGTGCAAATAGAACAAAATTAAAACAGTTAAAGTAGTTCGAACAGTAACAATCAGAGCAGTGCTGGGTTATGGTAATGTGTCAATTGTATCATACTCCTCTTACTCTTTCTCCATCAAATTCTGGGCCTGCGAGTGATGTCACTATCAGCAGCTTATACCGATGACGTCACTCCCAGACCTTGATGGAATGCTCGCGATTCAGGCTGTGCTAGTGAGTTAATTTTTTCTTCGATTTCAAATATAGAAAAGGGGATTTTCAGTTTGTTCTCACCACTGAAATATACATACATGTATATTTCAGTGGTTCTCACAGAAGAAATTAAATGTTCTAGCTGCTTTCCAGTGCCTAAATTGTTAGAGTATCATGCTCCTGCAGTGTGACGCTCTTGAACTGTTCGACATAAGCAGCACTGGAACGCTCTCGTCTTAACCCCCATCATTTCGGACGTCAGGAGCGTGGAACACCGAAATAAAGTTTGGCGCACGAGGGGACAGGGGATAACAGAAATGAGTGGTTCAAGTGTTCGACACTCACTGCACTGGAACGCGCAAAGCAATTGTGGAGCACTTCCTGAGCTGCTCAGGAGTAATTTAAATTGGTCACTGGAAAGCACCTTGAATATCGTAGAACTTGTCGACGGAGGAGTTAGGGGAGTATGACACAAATGACACATCACATAATACCGTGCGTTCGTTATTTTGGTCTGAGATCTCCGAGCTTGACTTTACCGTTCGTTTATTTAAAAAGTGTACTCGGTGCAGCCTCATTCGCGTTCGTTTATTAAAATTTCTGGCACTTTTATACAGCGTTCAATTGCTCCGTTTGCTGGTCACGTGATTACGGCTCCGTTCAGCACGCTCTGCTCTTTGAGCAAAATACCGAACGCAAGGTTAGTTGTATTCCTTTCACACCTAGGAGGAGCTCCGGAACAGCTCCGGGGCTTCACGCGCTTATTCCTTTCGAAAAGTGTTTGTTGCACCACGCACATGTTCCCTGCAAATCGGGGGCGACTAAGCACCGAAGCGAGTAGCTAGAGTGTTTCAAGCTCTTGAAAGGAATACAACTATTCCAGCAAAAGATTATGCTTGGTTATCCTCGCGAAATGCAAATGGAACTGAATTGAAACAGTCAAAGTAGTACGGACAGTTCCCTGTATCTAGAAAATAAAAGCATTCGTCAAGCCATGTTTTTATTAACTTTTTTTTTTCATTTAAAATATGCTCTATTTATCCTAGAAGTTTGATCCTAATATTTAGAAACACCCTGTATTAGGACGAACATCTAAAAGGTACGTCGGTTGGATGCATTGACTTTTTCAGGCAGTTTTTCCATTTTCACACTATTTGTTAGCAAATCTAATTAGGCAAGATTGAAAATAACACAAAATTGTCTATTTCAGCTTGAAAAATCATTATTTAAATTAATAAAATATAAATAATTCACATAGTTTATTAAACGCTTGTAGCGCCATCTCGTTTATTTTAGTTAAATTATAATTTGAATTATCCGATTTTTCTATTTTAAACAAATTAAACTATTATTAAACTGAAAACATGTATAATATTACTTAGAAAATTAATTTAGTAATTAAAAACAATCAGAATTAATTATTTGCTGAAAAAATCGAGGTAGATTGCAAAAAAAATACCCGCCAAAAAAAAAACTTGTTGCTATGCCATCATAGAAACAATCGATTTCAAAATTGATCGACCGATAGTTTTTTGTTTGTTACGTTGCGGTTTTTTGTGGATTTTTTTAAGGTAAAAACTTTGAATTAATTAGAAATTTTTTGTCAATTAATTAGCCCAAAGTCTTGGAAACATTTTAAACCAATTTTCAAATCGACCGAGAGTCGAATTGCGCAAGATTTTTCAAATTTGGAAATTCGGTTGCCGTGTTGCCATGTTGCCCGACAACAAAATGGCCACCAGAATTGATTTTTGTTTACAACAGCAGAGCGAAAACTCTCCGATTTAAAGGTCTGGCTCCCTCTCACATAATTTACCAATTCATTCAATAAAATCATTTCGTTTTGCCCTTGAGTCAGAGACGCAGACGCGCCATATACATTTGATTTTTTACACACACATTTATATGATGGCATTGGTAAGTTAAATAATTGTTTTTTTGGTGATTTTCCGGAAAAATCTTCGGTTGAAAAACTGGTTGGGACGCGGGCCCCCAAGGTTGGGACACGATTTTAAGGTTAGGATTTCGCCCCTCGGATTTCTGGATAATCGGGTCAAACAGGAAAAAAAAAAAATGGTGCAGTGTTATTTTTTATTTATAAGCAAGAATCATTTTTATAGTAGTAAGCAGGTTTTGTTTGTGAAGTGGTAAAATTGTGTTTAAAGGGCCTCTTGATTGTTGGTAAGTTTTTAGTTTGAATGGCTTGTTCGAGGGCCTCAATTGATGCAATGTTTTGGGCCCCACTTTTTTCAAACGTGTGTATTTGAGATATGATTCGGTGCAAAAGATTTCAGCTGATTATCTTGTAAAATCCGTGGTAAAATCTTTAAAACCCCCCAATAGATCTCATAAAATTGCACAAAGATCCCTTGAAAATTTTTGGTTATTTGTTATTTTCATTAATATTTTATCCCTAGAGAATAAAAATATTACTTTCAGTTCCATACTTGGTTTCATATTAGGTCTGTTTCTGCAGAAATCACAAACCAGTCAGAGCGAACTTCATTGGTTGACAACAGTCAGAAAACTAGTTTCAACCGGGGGGGCGGTCAACTTCCTCAAAATGTGTACACCGATTTAAAATCACTCTTGATTTTAACTAATTTAACAGATTTGATCAGATTTAAGAGATTTTTATTCAAACCTTAACTGATTTAAGGTAATTTAAAGATTTATTGGATCACTTAAAAAGATTTAAGCTTATTTAGGAAGATTTAACCTGATTTAAGAAGATTTAAATGGATTTAAGATTTTTTTAATGACTTGAACTGATTTAACTTGGGATGATTCAAGGTAAATATTTAAATCCTGAGAAGATAAAATGTATCTAATAACCAGATATTTTAGTGCTAATAGGTACATTCGCTCTCATAAAAGTCCAATTTAAATTTTGAACTAATAAAAAAAAAGTTTTAAAAGTGATAAAGTTTGTGAGGCTTTTGCGGCCCAGGTTTATTGATAAGGTGTTTTCATTCGGGCTCAGTGGCCGTCGTAAGTTGGAATTTCTTCCTTTTTCTTAGGAAGAAATTCCAACTTACGACGGCCATTAAGCCTGAATTAGAACACCTTATCAGTTCTAAAAGTGCCACCAAAGTCAGCTAGTCTTGGTACCTCACTTGGTACACAATGTAATTAATTAATTAAAACTTGAATTTGAATTCACAAAAAACTTGATGCGAGACTTGAAAAAACACACATGTGCAAGTCACAAACGAATCTAAGCAATTGCACCTCGAGGTTTGTCAAGTTGGAGTCGCCCAAAGTTTACGCGGGATTTTAACTGTTTTTGTATCGATTTGAAATGATTTATTTATTTATTTTTTATTTATTGATAGATCTTCACAAACACCATAAAGGTAATTACAAGCAAAGGTAAAATCGAGGGCAAAAGAACAAAGAGAGTAGAAAAAACAATAAACAAGAACTTACAACCAGGGATCGACCGATACCGATATGGCATATCGGTATATCGGCGTATCGGCCTTTTTCAGGTATATCGGTGTATCGGCATATCGGCCCTTCATTGGCCAATAACTTTAGACCGATACAAATCATATTTTGAAGATAAGTAATCATCATTAAGGCTTTTTTGAAGCTTAAAAGAGCTAATAATTTTGGTTGGTACATATGGGAGTAACTAAGAAGAAAGTAAATAAGTATTAGAAATTGTTTCTCATAAATTTATTTCAAATTAATTAGGTTTTTATGTAAAAAAAAACTTAACATTCTGCTTATCTAAACTCAAATTCAAAATTATTTATTTATTTTAAAAAAAAACTAAACTTTCTGCTTATCTGAACTCGAACAAACAATATTAAAACTAGGAGAAAACAAATAAATAAACATTCAAACTAAAGGAAAAGGTGCGAGAAAACAAATAAAACATTCAAACTAAAGGAAAAGGTTGGAGAAAACAGATAAATATATATCATCCCTATATCGGTATCGGTCGATCCCTGCTTACAACTAATATAAAAGACACACATACAATAAATAGATAAAATTCTTCTAATTCTAACAAGGAAACATTACACAATCACACATTAAGATATTAAACCAATTAACTGAGAGAGGCTAGTGTTGAATATATCAAATGGTTTTTCCCTGTATACGATATTGCACTGTTCCATTATTTTATTTAGAGGAGACAGTTTATACTGACTAGTTTTAAAAATATCTATGCTAAGAATCCTTGAGTTAATTTTAGGTACCCTAAAATCCATAAAATTTATAAAATTACAATGTTTGTACTTTATATTATTGACTATACAGGGTGTCCCACGGTGGATGGCGTATTAGACGTTTATGGAGAACTAAAAAGCGGATCATTTTGAAAATTTGGCAACCGGGATAAACGACCATGATCTACACTTTAAAAATATTTTTGACCATGCGATGTTGCCGCTTCTACTCTAAACTAGTGGCGACATCACTATTTTAAATGGAACATCCCGTATTAAATTGCATATTTGGATTCTACGTAAAATTCTGAGCAGATTTCATGTGATATACCCTATACCTAAGTTCAACTGTTTTGGAAATATTGACAGTTGAAAATAGACTTTTTGCAACTTTGACAGGCTGTAAAACCTAATTGGTTAATTTTAGAGGAAAACCGATTTCACATTCCTATCTTAGATTTTGATAAATCATTTGACACCAACTTTGAACTTAACCGGAAATTAAATTTAACTGAAATTTTTAATCATGGATTTAATTCAAAGATGGTGTCAAATGATAGTTTATAAAAATCTAAGATAGGAATGTAAAATCGGTTTTCCTCTAAAATTAACCGTTCAGGTTCTACAGCCTGTCAAAGTTGCAAAAAATCAATTTTCAACTGTCAATATTTCCAAAACAGTTGAACTTAGGTATAGGGTATATCACTTGAAATCTGCTCAGAATTTTACGTAGAATCCAAATATGCAATTTAATACGGGGTGTTCCATTTAAAATAGTGATGTTGTCACTAGTTTAGAGTAGAAGTGGCAACACCGCATGGTCAAAAATATTTTTAAAGTGTAGATCATGGTCGTTTATCTCGGTTGCCAAATTTTCAAAATGATCCGCTTTTTAGTTCTCCATAAACGTCTAATACGCCATCCACCGTGGGGCACCCTGTATAGTATGTATATGAATATCACAGCTTGTTCATTTCTTCTTTGTACAAGGGATTTTATAATGGAAACTGTTCAGCATTGCCCCATATGATACCAAAAATGGGTACACTTCATTTTGCCTAACATACAGAAATGGAGATTTATGAAGATTTAAAAGGATTTGAAGAGATTTAACGAGATATAGAAAGATTTAGGGGATTTATACAGATTTAACTAGATTTAAAAAGATTTAAAGGGATTTTAAGAGATTTAAGAAAATTAAAATTGATCTAACCTGATTTAACATGATTTAATATGATTTATGAAAAAACTAAGGTGATTTAGGGAAATTTATTTAGGGATTTAAATTGTTCCGGATCTCAGATTTTTAGGGATTTAATTGATTTAAAAGGATTTGAGAGGGATTTAAAAAGATTTAAAGGGATTTAAAGAGATTTGAAGGGATTTAAAACGATTTAAAGGTATTTGATCTCATTTAATCTGATTTAGAGCAAAACAAGATGATTTATGTGATTTAATAAGGGATTTAAAGTGATTTAAGTCCATTTGTACACCGATTTAACAGAGTTAACCGCCCCCCGGTTTCAACCAATGAAATTCACTCTTTTTTTTTTTTTTTTTTATTTATTTTAACGGATATACCATTTACATTTGAACAATAAATGTTTTTACAATAATTTCATATAAATCTATTTCATAGGTATAAACTTAACAAAAACTATTTGAATTTTATTATAACAACAAACTTAAATTCTATTTTTTAGGAACTTATTTACTGTTCTATTGAACTGTCTAAGAGATACATTAAATATATCAATATCTAATTGGTTTATTGAACTAGCCATTCTGTTCAAAGGCGAGTTCATTCCATAATTAGTTCTATGAAAATCAATATGGAACAATGAAAAATGTCTTGTTGTCCTTTGAGGAACTTCTAGAGAAACCAATTCTAGTAATCTTGGACTATCTACGTTGTTATTCATGAGTTTAAACAGAAATCTAACGTCCAACATAAATCTTCTATTCTCTAAGGAGTCCAAATTTAATAAACTGTGCAGGGAGACATAATTAATATCTTGTTTCGGTATTTTAAGTTTGTAATTAATAATTCGTAAAAATCTTCTCTGTATTTTTTCTAGAATTTCCCTGTATTTAAGATAATGTGGATTCCAGACAGGACTGGCATATTCAACAATAGAACGAATTAAGGAACAGTACAATAACTTGAAACAATAAATGTTATTAACCTCCTCCAAAGTGTGAGACATAAACCCTGATAATCTTAAACATTTATCGTAGCTGTTTCCAATATGAATACTAAAGTCCATTTTATGGTCAAAAAATACACCAAGATCCTTGATTCTGTCAACACTATTAATTATTACATTGTTGACAGAGTAATCAAATATTATTGGATTCTGCACCCTAAAAAATCTCATAACATTACACTT